AGGATCGGAAATCAGATGACTCCATGAACCAAAGAGCCGATTCAATACTGTAGTCAGGGTACATGCAGCTAGAGACAAGGGGATACAGCCAAGTGGTACTGGAGTGGCTGGAAAATGTGTGATTTATCGGGGTAGTTTGGGGGGTTTTATGATCTTACTTATATGATTGAACGATGCAAAATAAGGACATAAACTGAACAAGAAGTGCCGGAGGCGATCTGGAAACTCAAACAGTGGAGCTTTTACTGAACTCACTGTGGAAATGACACTAATTTAATTCTGATTGGCAGCAATAACCATGAAGTTGCCACTAACGTTGAAGCTGCAAAGGTGTTAGACTACTTCTGATTAATGGATGTGACCATGGGCCGTTATGGGGTGGGGCGGGGGGGCAACAGGGGCTTTTGCCCAAATAACACTGAGCTTGGACTCTCCTGTGGCTCCCCTTCAAATGACGAGTGATAACACCATTTGTGATAGCGTTGCATCAAAGACATAATGGACCCAAATGTATAAATCTTGAAGACTGTCTTTTTTTTTTTTTATCCACATTTAATGGGCCCCCTCTAATAAAATAACTGGCCCCAGCACAGCCCTCAGTAACAGTACTGCTATTGGAAGTGAGTGTTGGACTTTAAAGAAATTGCAATGATGCAACAGAAGCAAGCAACAACCATGACACCTGTGTGATGAACGTGGAACTGTTATGCCTTATAATGGCAACTAAAATATAGCATCAAACAGAAACCACATTGTCAAAAGTCAATGAAAATGACCCAACTTCCTTCCTAAATAAAATGGATCTCAGACATTCCACAGCACATTATGCTCACTATTCTAAATGGTCACTGTGCATGTTGCTCTGCCTTTTCATGGTTTCTTCTGATGAGATTTACGACTCAAATCAGTGTGTATGTTGGGTGTGTTCGACAGGTCTTTCAACTCTAATGATTGCCAGATCCTATAAGCACCAACCTGTTCGACGCCGCGCTGCCTAAATCTGTATTTTGTGTCTCCTAACAACAAGACAACAAGATGGCTTCAAAAGGACAAATTCCTTCCAACACAGTGTGCAAGATTCCCGGCAACAGTGTGCAGGGACTTGTTGGTGGTGCAGCAGCTGACCGGCTAATAACACTGCCAGCTGTTTGTCCCTGTCGGCACTTTATGTACCTTCAGCTATGCAGTGTGATGGCAACAAGCGCAGATCAATAAATATGGTATTGTGTTTTATCATGTTGCAGAGGAAAGGATGTGAGGGGAAACTCGGGGAAGAGACAGCTTCTTAAGAACTGGGGGATTATGGGATGCTGTCAAGCACACGTACACCGAGGGGAGACAGGAGTTGTGTGTGTGTGGAGATGCAGGGACAGAGAAATTAGAGCACACACCTGACAGAAAGGAACATACAGCTACACAAAAACAGAGAGAGAAAGAGAGGGAAACATGCACGCACACACACATGTTCCTCTGGGGGTGCCAGTAGGAGAGACAGGATGTGTGTGTGTGTGTGTGTGGAGATGCAGGGACAGAGCAATTGCAACACACACATAGGAAAAGACAGAAAGAGAAGGACACAATCACACACTCACACACTCACCCACCCCCCCCCACACACACACACACACACACACACACACACACACACACACACACACACACACACACACACACACACACACACACACACACACACACACACACACACACACACACACACACACACACACACACACACACACACACACACACACACACACACACACAGTCAGACTGATCACGTACCTTCCAGACAGCAGGTTCGCCAGAGGCCGGAGTGCGTCATCACCTCCTCGTTCTTGCGGCTTGTGTCGTTGTCGTTGGTGCTCTTCGTGCGGCAGACCCCGCGCGAGTACAGCCAGTAGTCTGTACCGACGGCGATGGTCATGAGGCTGAAGGCGGCGAACGCGCCCACCGTCGTCACGAGCATCTGGACGCCGCGGTCACACATCAGCATCTTCATATAGGCGGTTCCTGTTTGTCTTAATCTAAATGTCTTCCTCTCTTTCCCCCCCTTATTATTTCCTTAATATCCCGCGAGATTTGGAGAGTCCGAGTGAGGGGGTTCAACAGACAGTCATTTTGGAAGATAAAATACACATATGTGAATTAAAAGGGGCGAAAAGGGAATTAATTTGCTGCCTGGTGTGTTGAGTTGGGAAGGTGGGAGGGCGGCACGTCACTTTCTCGCGCATCAAAAACCGGTTTTACCATCCACCACCCTCACACACACATAAACACACACACACCGGAGGTTTAGCGACCACCGGTTGTCCCCGACTACCCAACACTTGTCTCACTCAGTCAGAGTGGAGGGAAACAGCGATACCACATTCTGCCTCTCCTTCCCTCCTTCCGTGCGTTAAATACGCGTATCCAGCAGTAACCCGAGATATCTTCTTCTTCTTTTCCTCGTCTATCTCTCTTCTTCTTCTCTCTTCTTTAACTTCTTCCTTTCCTAAACCAGCTCCCTTATTAACAGCACAGCTCTGCGTGGGGGGACTCCATCTTTAAAAACAACAACAAAAAGGGGGGTTAGTTTGTTTTATATTGACTGATGTAACCGCACCAGTCAAAGGGGGGAGGGTTTCTGTTTCTATACTAAAACATCAGTGCTGAGGCGGCTCGCCCCTCACTCACTCACCGCTGGATGTGTTGACCGGTGAAGGATGTCCTCCTTCGACAATCTCTGTTGCAGCAGCGCCAAAATATAAGGCGGTACAGTGGTTATTCTTTGTTTCCTGCTGTATTACTGAATGAATGGACCGATGAATAAAGCCCATACGTCAGCTATGAAGAGAGCGCGGATGTTGACCGAGATCCGTCGTGTGTTTTCCTCTCCAGCTGTTGACTCACTGACATGTTTTTTCTTCTTCTTCTTCCTCGATGTCCACAGTAATAGGCTTACAGGAGCTCGTCCAAGCACGCAGACTCTAATATAAATTCAGTTTGTTCCCTCCCTTTCATTATCTGCAGTGGAGAGACACGCAATACGGGTATTTAACATAGGCACCAAAATTGAAACCTAGACGGCATTAATCAAATTTCTCCTTGAAAACGGACGTGTTCTCTCTCTCTCGCCGCAGAAGTTGAACCAGTACGTGGACGAACCGTCCGATAAGCCGACTGCTGATGGAGCCTGTAGGACAGTTACACCCGCCTGGGTTTGCTCCCGAGAAACGTGCCCGTTGGTACAAATGGAAAAAAATGACAGCCGTCGCCTCCTCCTCCTCCTCGTCCTCCTCCTCTTCGTCTTCCTCCTCCTCCTCCTCTCGGTCCAACCAACACAAACTAAAACTAACCGCGCGTCTCCTCAAACTCCGCCTGAGGCCGCACCGCTTGGCTCTGATTGGCTCCTTGGGTGACAGCTACCCTGAGGAACCAATCATATGCAGTCACTGCTGCATGTCCCGCCCACCGCCGCAACACCATCAGTATAAATCATGGTGGGCTCCAGTCCACAGAGGAGAGCATACAGGACTGTCTCAGAAAATTAGAATATTGTGATAAAGTTCTTTATTTTCTGTAATGCAATTAAAAAAACAAAAATGTCATACATTCTGGATTCATTACAAATCAACTGAAATATTGCAAGCCTTTTATTATTTTAATATTGCTGATTATGGCATACAGCTTAAGAAAACTCAAAAATCCTATCTCAAAAAATTAGAATAATAATCAGCAATATTAAAATAATAAAAGGCTTGCAATATTTCAGTTGATTNTAGACGCGTCCTGCAGCGGCAGAGGCGCGGCACAGCACTGTCTTAAAAAAGACTTAAAGGAAGATTTAGGATATTAGAAGTGTGTGTTTTGTGAACAAATGTGCTGAACATTAGTGTTTTTTATAACACTTTTCCCCAGATATATCCAAGATCCACTTTTCAGAAACGATAAGCTCTGATAAGGGGTTCTTAAGATGTCTCTCTTATGATAAAAAGTAGGCCCCTTTTCACTGAAACTCTACATACAGGACTGTCTCAGAAAATTAGAATATTGTGATAAAGTTCTTTATTTTCTGTAATGCAATTAAAAAAACAAAAATGTCATACATTCTGGATTCATTACAAATCAACTGAAATATTGCAAGCCTTTTATTATTTTAATATTGCTGATTATGGCATACAGCTTAAGAAAACTCAAAAATCCTATCTCTAAATATTAGAATATCATGAAAAAGTATACTAGTAGGGTATTCAACGAATCACTTGAATCGTCTA